CACACACACACACACACACACACACACACACACACACACACACACACCCCATAAGATGGCCATCTATCCTCTTGTCAACATGATTTTTCAGGAACTGCACTCACACATTCTTACAGGGAAGGGTGTCACCATTCTCTGCCATTCATCATACCATTCCCAAAATACCCCAAGTTCCTATTTGGGCTCAGAGTTGCTGCAAGCTATGCCAACCTCCTGCTCAAATATCACCAGATAGTCTGCCTATGCCTGTATAATTGAGTTAGGGGAAAACCTGACACCACTAAAGTGGAGTTCTGCAAAAGAGGGGAGATCACATGAGATAATGTGTGAAAAGTGTTTCACAAACCCTAAAAAACACTCAACAACTGCTAGTTACTATTGTTGTTGTTATTGTCATTATTATTATCATCTAATTGCTTCTCACACTGGATGGTCACAGAACATAGGAGGACAGCGGTGGAGCAGCATAGAACTAGTCTAACAAAACAATCTCTTTTAGTAATTTTACCCCCTCCCTTGACAACCCTGATCAAGAAAACAGCTAAAAACAAAACTCAGTCAATAGACATTTAGTAAGTACCTACTATGTGCCAGGCACTGTGCTAAGCAAAGACCGTCTCTACACTCAAAGAGTTTACCATCTAATGAAGAAGACAACACACGAAAGGAAGCTGAAAAGCAGGAAGGGAATGGTGTACAACTCAGCTTCATTCAATGGGTCAGTGCAATTCCCCATCTTAGCCACATAAAAAGGGGTCAGGGTGAAGTTCCCTTCTAGGACTTCAAACTAATTTAATTGATTTTGCATAAGTAAATCCTCTGGGAGATCACCAAGCTAAGAAAATTCAATGGCCAAAAAATGTTATACATTGGTCTCACAGAATGGTCCCATTTATGGGTATGCTTGAAGCTCCCTGGAGCTTACTAGGGAGCAGGATCCATTCTTACTCTCCCATTCTCTTCCCTTACAATTCTGATCTCTGCAGGGTTCAATACATGCCCTAGCAACACCTGTTATGTCAGAAAACAGATTTGCCATTCAGGGCTATCAATTCCTACCCCACCCTTTATTAGATCCATGAGCTACACCTCACCCTCAAGATGTGATTCTTAAAACTATGGAGTTTGGGTTTCCAGGAGCTGAAATGGCAGAGTGAAAAATAAGTCACTCTTACCCTCCCTTATCAACCTCTGAAAGCCCAGAAAATATCGCCCCAGGAAAAACCCTGGAAGAGCTAAACCAGAAGAAAGATGGGGAGCAGTAGTCCTGTAGCCCAGGTAGCTTGAGGGATTAACAGGAAAGGCCCCTCTTGCCTGGGGGAGGGAGAGCAGTACAGATCGGGAAGTGTCCCAGCAAGATAGTAGAAAGCCCCACCTCAGCATACCAGGAGGAGATCCTGAAACCCAGGTGGCAAAGCAGGCAAACACCCAACACCTGGTCCCCCGAGTGCCTCAGTGAGAGAGGGGGAAGCCATCGAAACAGCTCAGAAAACTACCAGGTGCCTCAGCATTCTACAGCAGTCTCCCAGTGCCTCAGCAAAACTCTGTGAAGTGCTCCAAGGGGCCCCAGGTGGATAAACATCCTGCAACATCCATCTGAAAGGAGCTGAAGAAAGCAAAAGGAAAGGAAAAGCAGGCAACCTCCTGGGGCTAGACTACCCCATCCTACCCACAGATTCCAGTGTTGCTGATTCCAGCCCAACACCAGGGAAGCTGCCAGAACCCTACTGCCTCCAACTGCCAACATCGGAGGCCTCAGCAAACAATGCCAGTGACCCAAGCCCTAGGCTCCCAACATAAGAAGCTTGGGTCAGTGCCCTCTGCTCCCCAGCAGGAGAGCTCAATCTCTCTAAAGGTCAGGAAATAAGCAAACACCATAAGCAAAAAGAAACATACCATAGATTCATATTATGAGAACAGTGAAGATCAAGGCAGAAATTCTGAAGAGGAAAACATTGTCAACAAACCCACATATGGAACCTCAAAAGGGAATGTGAACTGGTCTGAAGCCCAAAAAGCCTTCTTAGAGAAGCTCAAGAAGGATTTTAAAAGTCAAATGAGAGAGGCAGAAGAAAAAATGGGAAAAGAAATGAGAGGTATGCAAGAAAGAGTCAATAGCTTGGAAAAAGAAGGACAAAAATTAACTGTAGAAAACAAATTCATGACCAAAGAGGAGATAGAGAACATTACGAAATGCAAAATGGATAACTTTGATTACATTAAATTGAAAAGTTTCTGCACAAACAAAGCCAATGCAACTAAGATTTAGAAGGAAGGTAGAAAATTGGGAAAGAATTTTTACAACCAGTCTCTCTGATAAGGGCCTCATTTCTAAAATATATAGAGAATTAAGTCAAATCTATAAGAATACAAGTAATTTCCCAATTGATAAATGGTCAAAGGATATGAACAGGCAGTTCTCAAATGAAGAAATTAAAGCCATCTATAGTCATATGAAAAAATGCTCTAAATCACTATTGATTAGACAAATGCAAATCAAAACAACTCTGAGGTAACACATCACACCTATCAGATTGGCCAATATGACAAACAGGAAAATAATAAATGTTGGAGATGATGTGGGAAAATTGGAACACTAATGCATTGTTGGTGGAGTTGTGAAATGATCCAACCAGTTTGGAGAGCAATTTGGAACTATGCCCAAAGGACTATAAAAATGTGCACAGCCTTTGACCCAGCAATACCACTTCTAGGGCTGTATCCCAAAGAGATCATAAAAATGGGAAAAGGACCCACATGTACAAAAATATTTATAGCAGCTCTTTTTGTGGTGGGAAAGAATTGAAAATTGAGAGGATGTCCATCAATTGGGGAATGGCTGAACAAGTTGTGGTATATGAATGTAATGGAATACTATTGTGCTATAAAAAATGATGAGAACAGGCAGACTTCAGAAAAACCTGGAAAGACTTGTATGGTCTGATGCTGAGTGAAGTGAGCAGAACCAGAACATTGTACACAGTAACAGCCATGTTGTGCAATGACTAATATTGATAAACTTAACCCTTACCAGCAATACAAGGATCTAAGACATTTCTATAGGCCCCATGATGGAAAATTCTATCAACATCCAAAGAAAGAACTATGGAATTTGAATGCTGATCAAAGCATATTATTTGCTATTTTTTTTTCTCTTCTGTTGAGTTTTGTTTCCTCTTTCTGGTGGTTCCTCCTATTGGTTCTAATTTTTACTTACAACGTCACTAATGTGAAAATATGTTTAATAAGAATGTATATGTATAGCCTATATCAGATTGTGCACCATTTTAGGGAGGGTGGTGGGGAGGAAGGGGGAGAAAAATTTTAAACTCAAAAGCGGAAGTGACTGTTGATAAATCAAAATAAATTAATTTAAAAAAACAAAGAAATGATGAACAGGCTGACTTCAGAAAAACCTGGAAAGACTTGCATGGTCTGATGCTGAACCAGGAGAACGTTGTACACAGTAACAGCCATGTTGTGCAATGACTAATATTGATAGACTTAACCCTTCCCAGCAATACGAGGATCTAAGACATTTCCAAAGGCCTCATGATGGAAAATGCTATCCATATCCAGCGAAAGAACTGTGGAGTTTGAATGCAGATCAAAGCATACTATTTGCTATTTTTTTTCTTCTGTTGTGTTTTGTTTCCTCTTTCTGGTGGTTCCTCCTATTGGTTCTAATTCTTACTTATAATACCACTAATGTGAAAATATGTTTAATAGGAATACATATGTATAGCCTATATCAGATTGTGTGCCATCTTGGGGAGGGAGATGGGGACAAAGATGGAGAAAATTTTAAAACTCAAAAGCTTATGGAAGTGATTATCAAAATAAATTAATTTTAATCAAAATAAATTAATTTTAAAAAAAGATGTGATTCTTAAAAACCAAAAGCATATTCAAGTCCATTTCTAATTTACTGGATATATGCTGACAGTTTATTTTTTTCCTTATTGTATCAGTACAACTTTTCTAGGGCCATCAGTAACAATCAGAGAATGCTAGCCCTGGAGGTACCTTTATTCTACCTGTCATCCTTCTTGGATATCTATCTAGTAGGATAATTCCACTGAGTCAG